TAGATCTTTTTTCTGTGATATATACCTCTGTTAAATTTGTCATCAGATGATGCATTGTTTTCTTGATTTATTTGTATTACTTACCTTTGTTATCTTTTATCACACTTAATTTCTTTAACATCCCATTGTATTGAATTGGGGGGGCATTTTATAAGTTTCCTTTTTTGGGATCCATTACTGGGGAATTATTGATTTCCTTAGACCCTGTCATGTTTCCTTGCTTTTTAATGTTTTTTATGTTTATATTTTTGTTTAAATTTTTATATATTTATATTTTTGTTAGTGTTTATATTTTTGCCTCTGGTGTAACAGTCACTTATTTCTTGTTAATCATTGGCTTTCATAGGGAAAGACTTTTTCCTATAGATGTATTTATAGTATTGGTTAGACAGGGTGCTTTGGCTTTGATTCTGGGTGAGTGCAGTAATGTAGTCTCCATATGACTTATTCAGCTCTAATCAGTGTTAGTGGTGTCCAAGTTCCTTAGTGGCTTAGAATGTGGTTGTTATTGGAAGCTGTAGTAAGGTTTTGCTCTGGGGATCAGGATGCCAGGCAGGTCAGTGTTTTGACACCAGTTGATGGCAGTTAAGGCTTTTCCTCAGTCCTTCTCACCCCCGATGGTGCACATGGGCACCAGCAGCCATGGGTGTAGATCAGTGATCCCCAGGGCCCCAGATGACATGCATGGGCACCAGCAGCAGTTGAGATGGGCCTGTCCTCAGGCTCCAGATGGTGTGTGGAGGCACCAGCTGTGTTGGCTGGTCAAGTTGATCCTCAGGTATGCTTAGGTGCAGGCGGCAATGGCAGTGGGCAGAACAGGGTTTTCCTTAGGTTCTCGGACAGTGTGTGCTGGCAGAGTAGTCTTCTCTCCAGATCCACTTCTGATGTATGTAGGTGCTGGTGGCAGGAAGGCTGTGCGCGGTAATGTGCACGAGCAGCAGCAGCCAAGGGCAGGTCAGATCTTTTTTCAGGCCCACTTTAGAGCTGTTCAATTAGAAGTTTGTAATGTAGCATCTTATAATATAAATACCAAGTTATCAATTATTTTTGTATGCCTAACATTTAAACAGGATGAATAGCTTTTTAGTTTATAAAAGTTACTAAAACTTAAATCTATGATTTGTGAAGAATAAACCATTTTCCAAAAGAGTTAAAATAATAATTGAGCTTATGCTTTTATTTTTTTGTTTTTGAGTTGGAGTCTCACTCTTGTCACCCAGGCTGGAGTGCAGTGGGATGCTCATGGCCACCGCAGCCTCTACCTACTGGGCTTAGGTGATCCTTCCGCCTCAGCCTTCCAAGTAACTGGAACTACAGGCATGAGCCACCACACCCCGCTAGTTTTTGTGATTTACTGTAGAGATGAGGTCTCACCAAGTTGCCCAGGCTGGTCTTGGACCCCCCAGGCTCAGGCAATCCTTTCACCTTGGCCTCCCAAAGTACTGGGATTATAGGCTGAACCACTGCACCCAGCCAGCTTATGCATTTTTTTTTTCTTTTTTGAGTCTCACTCCATTGCCCAGGCTGGAGTGCAGTGGCATGCATGCTTATGGCCACCCTATCTTCGACCTGTGGGCTCAGGCAATCCCCTCACCTCAGCCTCCCAAAGTGCTGGAATTACAGACTTGAACCACCATGCCTGGCCAGTTTATGCATTTTTAAGGGGAATTTTAGATTAGGAAATTTTATCAGAAACCTAATTTTTATTTTTCTCCCTTTTATATATCTTATTCTGTGTTTTTATTTATAATTACATAACATCTAAAAGTATGCCTATCATAGTTTAGTCATTTTATGTTAATTCAGGGTCATCTTTATGGGCAGCAGTTATTTTACTATGCTGTTACTATGCTGTATACTTATAGATGGAAATAGAGAATATCTAGGGGACGTGGGCAAAATAGGGTCTGATTTCATTAATGTACTTAAAGCTTGATTTCTTGAAGGTTCTTATAGTCAGTTTGTTTTTGGTCATTTATCATTTTCCATTAAAACTATTTTGCCCACATAAAATAAGCTGCTGCTTGTTAGCTTGTAAGGACTTTTCTATTTAAGTTTAAGTTTGTAAAGAAAATGAAGAAGAAATACCTCCCACCATTTTAATGAAATGTTTCCTCTGCTTTTAGATAATTTTATACCAACATCTACAAGTCTTTATAGACCTGGATGGTGATGTTGTAGACGAGATGCTGTACCATTTCTCTAAGCTGTATTTTATGCTTGACTTTTGATACCATTCCAGTATTCAAATGGTGGTTTTGCAATGTAACATTTCATATTATGAATAATATTCTAGTTCAGAAGATGAATACCTAAGATACTAGTAGCAGGCAGAAGGATGCTCTTTCAGAATAAGAGATCAGTTTTTAGAACTATAAGTAGAAATCGTATCCTTGGGTATATATACAAAGATGATTGAAACAAAGAGTAAAGATATTTTCGATCTATTTAAATTACCTTGTGCTCTATAAACCACTGATAAATTTATGGCACCTTTGAAAGTTCTAAGGTGATGACATATTCCAGCTATCAAAGGGGGAAACAACCAGCTTGTCCTTAGTTATCTTAGATTTACCAAGATCTGCTAGGGTTGCATTTGACAAGGATTGCTAAAATAAGTAAACACCTTCACCTACAAAATGCTGTTATTTGCATTTAAAACTATACATAGGATACATTAGTTTCAATAAAAGCCATAGAATACAGCTGTACTTTTTATGCCAGTTACTTCTACCTTCTATGTTTTGTTTCTCTTTGAAATAATGAAAGTTGCCCAACAGAAAACATAGTTCAATCAATTTTATGTGCTCATCAAAGACTTGTCTGTTCTACTTACATTAAAATGTAAACACTTTTAAGTAGATAAGTACACTGTTGTGGCTCTGTGTTTTACTATAGTGAATGTGTTGCTGTCTTCATACTGAACCTTATTTGTTGATATGTCCTTAAACTGAATAGTTCCACTGCCATACCAGGCAGTAGACTATCCTTTTCTGATATCAATTTATGTTGACCATGATGCCCTTCTGAAATAAAACCAGTTGTTTACACACTCACATAGAAACATTGTCAATATCACTATTTCTTCTGTCTGCTGGTCAACCATGTGCTACTTCTAACTTCTTTGGTTTTCCCCTTTCTGCTCTCAACTACCCCGGTCTGCTCTTTCTCTTATGGTTTCTGACTTCCCTTATTAAGTCCTTTGCCCATTGTAGGTTTCACCTCTTAATAAGAGCTGTTTCTGGAGCAAAGTGATCACGGAAAACCACCATGTGTATTATTTGGCTCTTCAACTGCATTCAGCTATTTTCATTATTTGGGTTTCTCAATAATTTCTTCCTCACCACACATTGTCCTTTAACAATAAAACTTTTATTTTTAACTGTGGACTCACTACTTTTGTTTAGAATCTGATCTCCATATAATTGAGAAGCTACTATGCCACAGATATTTTTTTCTGTGTATTAAGCTGTTTCAATACCATATTAATGGACAGTTTTCTGTCTTTTGATCAAAAAATATTTCAGGAGATTGAACCAAAAGGTAGCCTGTTTAACATAGTATGTTATCCTAACTCAGTGTTTCAGTCTAGACCTTGGTAAGTCGCTACTTAGCCTATCCTATGTATAAAGTTATATGTTACAATATGAATGCAGATAGCTGTATATATATTTTTGTTTGTTTGTTTTTGTTTTGTTTTTTGAGTTGGAGTCTCACTCTGTTGCTCAGACTGGAGTGCAGTGGCATGCTCATGGCCACCACAGGCTCAACCTGCTGGACTCAGGTGATCCTTTCACTTCAGCCTTCCAAGTAGCTGGAACCACAGGCGCATGCCACCATGTCCAGCTAAGTTTTTGATTTATTATAGAGATGAGGTCTTGCCAGGTTGCCCAGGCTGGTCTCGTACCCCTGGGCTTAGGCAGTCCTCTCGCCTCAGCCTCCCAAAGTGCTGGGATTACAGTCATGAGCCACCACACCAGCCAATAGGATACATACTCACACTGTGTTACATTTACAGAACTTCACTTTAAAAACGTCCTAACCCATTATATTTTTGGCATATTCATTTTTTTTAAATTATAAAGATGTGGGGTACAATTCAGGGTTAGGTATACAAATGTTGATTCTGCAAGTACCCTTGTTGGTGAGGTGTTCCCCTCCCTCCCCTAGCAGTTTCCCTCAACTGCCAATCCCTCCGCCCTTCCCCGATAGTTTCCCACTACTGCTTTTTGGCATATTCTTAGCTTATTATTTATAATAAATATTATAACTATTGGTCTTTATAGAAAGCTAATGTTTCTAAACACAGTTTTTTAAAAAAATGATATGAACACTTGTTTTGTATATGTGTATACAAAGAATATATGTTTAGGGCAAGAAAATGCAAATTCCTAGGAGAGAATTATTATAAGCAAATAATCAAGAATATATTGAATGCCTACTTAAATATAGTGTTATGTTAGGCTTCTATGGGAATAGGTTACTCTCATTATTGATTTATAAATAATTATGTTGAATTTATGAAGGATATAGTATTAATTTAAAAAATTATGCTTATTTTTTAATAACTTTATCAGTGTACTTATTTTCAGTGAGATGAGATTGCCTAAGTCAACATGTTCTCATGCGTAAGTTTCAGATCTGAAAGTACTATGTGAATATTCAAAAGAAAGACACTGAATAGATAGTTGTAACTTGCAGAAAGTAAAAGTAGTACATATTTCATTGTCCTGTAAGTCACTGATAGAACGGGCATCTTTGAAAATTGTTGTCAGTCTTATACTAAGTATATTGTTGCTCAGGGCAGTATCCTTAGAGTCTACCCATCTGTGTGGTTCTGTGCTGCAGGCTGTGTGAAGTTAGTGTGTGTGCTTTGAATAGACTTTATTATAAAATTCAAAACCATTATGTTTAGATCTGATATAATTGTAGACAGTAAGAGAAAATAGGTGATGTTTTTAATATATATTTCAATATGACAATTTCCAATTATGTTCCAGGCTTTACTCATCAGTCTTAAGTATGGTTGTTTTATGTGGCAATTGGGAGATGCTGATACTTGTTTTCAGATTCATAGCATGGAAAATAAAATGAGCTTTATAGTACATACAAAACAGGTAAGTAGCAATTATTTTGCATGTCTGATAGTGAATTACTATGTTAGTAAAGTTATTTCTTTTTTAACAAGTGACATAATCCATTTAACTTCAAAGAAAAACCTATAATATTCCATGAAAGTATAATATTAAAGACCAAGGGAAAAATTTTGGCAGTGCTTTCTTAAGCAAGGAAAGTCAGATATTTATCTAAATAGTTTATTTCAGTTTTATAACAACTAAACTCTTCTGCTGTTTCTTTTAATTCTGGTCAGTATTTCCTGTCTCTTTTAGCAAGGCTCTTCTTGACCTATCTGAGCCCTGAGTTGTATCCAGTGGGTTGCTTCTTAAATCCCTTCAAAAAACCTGAGTGCCTGCTCCCTCTATACTCTGTTTCTTGGCAAGCTGCCTCCTTATAAGAACATTCATTTTCAAATATTAGGAAACTGCCTACTGCCATGTATGTCCTTTAAACATTATTACATGTTTCATATTTACTGTTGACATATATTTTACTTTGTAGGCTGGCCTCGTGGTAAAACTGTTAATGAAGCTAAGTGGACAGCTAATGCCTACTGAAAGAAGTTCATGAAAGGAAGGTAGCTGGTACTCAAGCCACCACATTTTGTAGTTTTCAGAGTTTTTTCCATGAAAGATTTCTTAAATTGTACTTTTAACAAGGCATTTAGTCTCTTGTAATATATATGTATACTATTACATTGTACAGAATCTGTACTTATGTTTGGTGTGTAATATACCAATTAGTTTTATATAATATCCTCATAAGCTATTCTAATTTTTGAGAGAAACACACAAAGTGTAGATTAATAGTCTGTATAAAATTAGACAAAATAGTAAACTTTTTTAAAAGTTATTTTTGGTAATGGTAATGAATTTGGCGTGGAATGTGATAAGATTAAAATGTATGACTGTTATTTTAAAGTATACTGAAAGTCAATATGATTTGAATAAAGAAAATGTATTTTCTACTTGAGCCATATATCACTGTTATTTAAGTTTTCTGCAATCTAGAAACATTTCAATATGTCTTTAAAAGTCTTAGTTAAAATGTATATCTAATATAAGGTAAGGTTTTCAAAGTATAGTTCATGCACTCCTTGCATCCTAATTACCTACGTGCCTTTTAGTAATGGAGACTTCAGAAACTCACTCCAGACAAGTCCATTCACTTTCTGGAAGTAGCAAGGCCTGGGAACCTTACCTAAGTTTGGTTTTATTTTTGCTTTTTTTCTGTTGAAATAATTCTAGACCCAATGAGGAATTTAGATTATTATAGTTGAGAAATTACACAAAACTGCCTGGCACACAAACATATATAGACATACATTTTAAGTGGCAATCTCTGAATATTAATAGTTGCATTTTTAAAATACATGCTCTATTTTTTATGAGTTTACATCATGGTTTATTTATAGTCTTTATGTTGTAGGAAGTAGATCACCAGATATCTGGTTGTTTCATTTAGGGGAGTGCTGATAAGGATGAGGAGCTAACTTGATTAATGGCTATTCAAAAAGCTAGAAACTACCGTCTTTCCAAACAGACTGGTGAGTTCTAAGTAAGTTCAGAGATCTGGTAGTCACAAAGAACATTGTCCTACAGATTGCAGATAACTTTTATATATTATTATCTACTCTTCACATTATCTTTTCTGCTTATTTATAATGGTAGTGGGTCTAAGCCTTATTAAAATTAAGATGATGTGGTTAAGTAAGATGAACAAGAAAACCTGATGTCTCCTTAATTCTGTACTAAGCACTTTTGATTCTGCATAAACAATTACGTGTTCAGTTTCATTCATTCATTCTAATGGCCTCAATTGTTACCAAATACTTTGTTGACACCTAAATCTAAGATTTTAGCCTCAAATTCCATTCTGAACTCTAGAGCTTAATTTGTTCTAGCTCCATCCAAATGGCCTATAAAGAACTTCATCATAGCTGGAAACAAAATGTGTTTCTTTTATTTGTTTCATCCTATCCCTAACCTATTCCCTATTTGGTTAATGGCATCATCAAATTGCATCTAGTTGTTAAGCCTGGAAATCTCAGAGTAGTCTTCGACTTTTCCCTCTTTTCTCACCTTGCAAACATTCTGTTAATCAAGTCCTGTCAAATATTTTGTGAGTCCTTTCTTACTCCCTTCCTCACTGGTTGCACTGCAACCATCCTAGTTCAAAGCGTTGCCACCCATTTCTTGTCTAGTAGTAGTAGCTTCCTACCCCTGACTCAGGCTCTACACCCTGCCTGTCTGCCACACTGATGCCAAGCTAACCTTTCTCATCAATCTGATTATCTCATTACACTGTGAAAACCTTTCATTACCACTAGATATAGAATTAAATTCCAAATTATTTAGTATTGAACATAACCCTTAATACATTGCTGCTAACCTGCCTATCAAGACTAATGTCTGACATCTTTTTCCACATTCATCCTATGGCTCCAACCCAGTATTTCTTAATCCTGACTCTGCAGTCACATGGGAAAATTTAATACTTTCTGATTCAATAATTTTAGGATAGGGTCCAAGCATTTCTGTTTTTAAAGTATCCCATGTGCTTGTTGTACAGCTAGGCATTAGAACTGTAGTTTTAATCAGCTCTGACTAAGTAGTAGCTGAATGTCTTTCCTTTCACAGAGAGAGGTGAGAGTGCAGTGATCCCACATCAAACAACTCCCTGCTCCATAGACTACAGTGTGCCCTCGGAGTTGAATAGTATGGCAGCCCTATAGAGAAAGGAAGAGGAGACTATTAGAGTAACAGAGGTAGTAAAGGCTTAAAAATGTCTAGCATTGTAAAGTCACTTTTCAAAATTTGAATTGAGAAAGAAAATTGATCACTATCTGTCAAACCATAACAAACCAGAAATAGTAATGGGGAAATCCAAACAGCTTTTAGTAAATGCCTATCATTTATCGGGCATTATATGTACACTAAGGGCAGAGATTAGAAACATTTTCCTTTCATTGTTCTTTCAGTAAAGTTGAGTGCCTTTTACATGCTAGGAAACTAATGGTAAGGAAAACCAAGTCCCTGCCTTCAGAGAACAAGGTTAATGAGGGAGACAATAAATATTCATAAAAATATATAATGATAAACTCTATTTTGACAAAAGAAATGATGTACAATCTAAAGTATAAACAGGGGAACTTGATCTAGTCTTAGGGATCTTGTGAGGCTTGAGTTGGCATTTGAGGTATGAGCAAGAAATAATTACGTGGAGAGTTAAGCTGGTAGGGAAATGAGATATTTTGACCTCAAGGAGAGTCCCAGATTATTCATGACGGAAATGATGGTTTCTCATGTTCAGCTACAATGTGAATTCAAATAGTTATATCTCTAAATCATAACAAATGAATTTCCATTGTAGGAATAAAGCCAGAATAGCTAATATTACACATGAAAATGTGTTAGAGAAAACTGAAGAACCATAAGATTTAAAATTGCCAAAATTGACTCTAGACAAATTAGACATGATAGAAATACTCAACAAAGTAAGACCTTCCATAGTTCTTGATAAAATCCAATAAAAGAATTGCAGCAATAAAATTTAGCTTTTTTATTTGATCCTGAGTAACTTAGTGGCAAAAAACTCTAATTGGGAGAATTTGATATGTGTAAAAAATTGATTGATGAATCAATTTCTTGCTTTATTATTTAGAAAAATGCTTCCAATGAAAATAATTTCAAATGAAAATAAAACAATATGTTTTTTTTGCAGCACTGTGTAGAAAACTGATCAAGAAATTAAATGGCTTGAGAGCATGTAAGATTCTCATTTAATGTCTATATTCATATAGGAATTTGCAGGGGGTTGGAGGGGCCTAAGTAGAATGGGTGATCCTGGGAATTCTTAGAGGCTAGAGTTCTGAAGGCAAATAATTCTCTCTCAGACATCTTAGGATGTAGAGGAGAAAAAGAGTTTCGGTACATTGTGCTAATTTTTTTTTTACAATAAAAGGAAGTACTAGGTTGTTCCTGATTCATTGGAAGGGCACCCAAATGGTGAGAAATTAGGACCTTATTTCCCTATTAGTTAAGTAATAATAATAGCTAATACTTAAAATGGTGCTTATTACACACCTGGTATTGTTTGAAGCACTTCTAGATACAAGTATGTTCCCAACATATAAATGATTTTGGTTCTGAGAGCACGTTGATAAGTCCAATTTGTTGTAAGTCCAACAAAGCTTTGCTAGGTACCCTACTAACACAATTGGCTATATAGTACTGTATGTATTTAACAGACTACACTGCCACTTAGAGGAGAGAAATAATATATACATTCCCATCTTTGCATATTCTCAACTTGAAGGTTTGTATGTAGGGGACTTAATGTATATTAATTCATTTGCTCCTCACAAAAATTATTTGGGCAGATACTTTTATTCCCATTTTACAGATAAGGAAATTGAAGTCGAGTTAAGCAACTTGATAAAGCATGACCAGTAAGTGATGGAGCTGAGATTTATATCCAGACAGTATGACTCCAAAGTGTAAATGAATCAGAAACATGATGTATGGTTATAATAAAAGCATAAAGTTATATTTATAGTCTATCTTTAAAAGCTTAGGAACCAAAGTTTCTAACAGTGGTATAAATATTTTTCACTTTCATATACTGTGTCAACAATACTATTGTATACAGGGAGGCCATGTTAATTGTGTAAGGTCAAAAACTAGTAGTTAGGAGAGTCAGGATTAAAAATCTGGAAGTCTGGCTCCTGCATTCAGATATCAGTCAGGGAAAGGAGAAGTAGCTGGAGAGGTTTAAGAAAAAGATCAAATCTTGAAATGTGTTTTCTACCAGTACGGAACCATTGGAGTCTAGAACTTGACTAGCGCAAATTTGTGTGCTGAAAGATCACCCTGGGCCATTGTACAGAAGGGGTGGTTCTAAGCAAGAAGGTATAAGGCAATCTAGGTCTAACCTAAGGTAACGGAGATGGGAAGAAATGAGTCAATGTTTTGACAAAATCCAGTGACCATTTAGGTATGGGAAATAAGGAAGAGGTAAGTGTAATGAATAATCCCCCCTTTCTAAAAAATACTTTTTAAATGTACACAATATAACATCAAAAGAAAAGCAAAAGAATCAGGGGACTTGGAGCAACTCTTACATGGCTAGTAGAATGCAAAATGGCATGGCTGTTTGGGAAAACAGTTTGGTAGTTTCTTGTAAGTTAAGCATATACCTACTATAGGAACAAGTGCCCCACTCTCTGGTGTTTATCCAAGCAACTAAAACTTATGTTCACACTTCAATCCATATGCAAATGTTTATAGGATACATTTTACATTTTTTCATAATGAGATGTAATTATTCATAACTGCCAAAAACTGGAAGCCCAATTGTCCTTCAGTGGAGGAGTAAATAAACTTAGCTACATCCATATAATGGAATACTACTCAGCAATAACAAGGACTAAACTTGATGAACAATGTGGATGAAGCTCAGATGCATTATGCTAACTGACAGATGACTGGAAAGATTATACTGCATATTGTAACATTCCATTTAGATGACATTCTGGAGAATGTAAAACTATGGGATCAGAAAGCAAATAGTGGTTACCAGAGGTTAAGGATGGGAGTGAGGGGATGTGGAAATGAAGAAGCAGCAAGGATAAATTTGGGGGAAATGGGAGAGCACTCTATTGATTGTGATTGACATAGTGTATTTGTCAAAAGTCAGAACTGATCACTAAAGGAAATTTCTTTTAATTCATAATATACTGCCTTTATTAATATACTAGTCAACTTGGTACATCTTAAACATACTTCACTGAACAACTTTAATGGGATTAGATAAACACAATAAAAATAGAAGTATATGGGGTTGTTTTAGAGACTACAAAACAGACTACATAATACTTCCCTGTATACAGGTTGATCTGAGCGCTTCTTTCTGTATTGAGTAACTTGGGGAGTTTCTGGGCTGAGTGCTACTAGACTTGCCTACGTTCTGAG